AGCACTGACCAATTCTAGCCCCTCCTATATTTCTTTACTGATCCGCAGGTATGCCCTTTTTCGGTCTCTCCACCTCAATCTCTCTCACTCACGCTTACAGCACTTCTCACTGGTGGCTCCTTTCCTTTGGAATAGCCTGCCTATGACAATCAAGCTCACCTCTAGTAATCAATCATTTAAAAAGTGCCTCAAAACCCATCTCTTTAGGAAAGCTTATGGCCTCCCAGAGTAACCTATACCACACATACCTGTCATTTGCTCTCTCCTAAAGGGCAGCACTCTATTCTCTCCTCCAGCTCTGCTTCACTACACCTTCTTTGATTGTTACCTCCTGTCCTGTTGGGATTTACGCCCACCTCCTATAGACTGTAAGTTCGTTTGAGCAGGGCTGGCTTCAACCTATTGTTCCTGTAAGTTTTTGTAATTGTCTTATTTATTGTTAAATCTCCCCCTTTTAATAATATTGTAAAGTGCTTCGAAATATTCTGGCGCTATATAAAAACCAGTAATAATAATAATAAAAAAATAATATATATAAAAAAATGTGATGGAAAAAAATTTAAAATAGCTCATATCTTTTACTTTATGTCAAATGTTGTGTTATCTTGACTAACCAATATATAGAATAATTTTAAATCAATCCTTACATGCATTATACATTTTTCTAGGTCATCTCATTGGAACTTTATAATATTTTGGGGCAAATAAGTCAGCTCAGTGTGTGATGAGGTCCAAATTGGTAGCCTTCTTCCATAATTAAATCATACGGGTTCTCTAAGACCATTAGTAACCGTTAGTAACTTTTGGTGTATATGAATATCTATTATATATGTGTTGGTGAGAAAATCCTTGTGCCGACTTGTAATTTTCCTTTGATATTGGACTGCCACACTTTGTTGAGCAACTTCTATGTACACCCTCTGTCAAACATAATCAGTGTAATGCGCCAACTTCTGCTTGTGAGCCCACATTTTCAGGGACATTATACTGAATGTGAAACAGAAGTAAATTAGCACTGACTGTTTTCAGCTCTAAAGGTCAGTGATTAAATGATAAATGTTTTGCGGGGGCTGTAAGTAGGCAAAAGATCATGATCAGTTTTGATTTAATTGGACTCCTAGCAAGACAATATCTAATAAAATAACCCCCAGAAAATGTTCTGGAAACAAATGTACAATAGTTCATATATTTTACTTTATGTCAAATATTTTGTTTTTCTGATTACCCAGTTCATAGAATAATTCTAAAATAATTTAAAAAAATTTAAAAAAATATTTAGTTATTCTGATTAACCAATATATAGAATAATTTAAATAAATCCTTACATGCCTTATATTTTTTTTCTAGGTACACTTATGAATACACAAGAAGACACAGAAAAGATGACTTGTACATGGTGCTGAATTCTGTTTCAGAATTTGAATCATCTGTAAAACAGTGCTGCCAAGAGATTGCCAACCCCAGTTGTTTTTCTGAAAAATTATCAATGTTTGGTGTTTCTTTTCCTTCCTAGGCATTAGCCTCTTATTTGCTATGAGCATTCATGAAAAATAAATTTTGATGAAAATAAACAAAAATTTATATTTAAATGCTAATTATATTTTGTATGTGAAGCACCAATAATATAATTTCTGGCATACACAAAGGGAGAGCAGTAGGTATAAAACAGAAGTGTATAATACATTTTAAAAAAAATAGGCACTATAGGCACTGTTCTTTCACAAGATTTTATTCTAAATAATTAAAAGACTTGGAAATATAAATAGCATCAGGAATTCGAAAGAGCTGAGAACTTTGTGCAACTTTTATGAGTACAGTTGCTTTGGAAAATGTGCTAAAACTTGAAATATTCAATGTATCGAAGAGCATTTTTTTCTTTTCACAATATAAATAATAGATTGAATTCTTATAATATGTTAAATTCCAATTTGATAGTGTAACGAGCTGTGTAGAACATTTATAAGGTAAATGATGTGCAAACATTTTAAATGAATAGAGGAATTTTAAGTCAGTCACTGAACAGTTGTTCGGTAGGGATATTGTTATTGCTGTTGCTATAAAAACTTCTAGATTGGGACAGGACAAAAGAGAGTTCTTATAAATGTGAAACAAAACAAAAACAACTAAACTATAATAAACTCACATAAAACATTTGTATTCTAACAAAGTTACATCTACTAAAACATTTATAAATATGAAATTAAATCTGTAGCTAAAATATTAAACTCAAATGTACACTGATCAGCCACAACAATTAATACTACCTGCCTAATATCATGTAGGTCCATTTCATGCTGCCAAAACTGCTCTTATGCATTGAGACATGCACTCCACAAGACTGCTGAACATGTTCTGTGGCATCTAGCACCAAAACATAACAGCAGATCCTATTAGTCCTGCAAGTTGCGAATTGGACACTCCATAGATCAAAATCTGTTGTTCCAGCACTCCCCACAGATGCTTAATCAGATTGAGATCTGGGGAATTTGGAGGGCAAGGCAACACCTTGAACGCGTTCTCATTTTCCTCAAACCATTCTTTAACATTTTTTGCAGTATGGCAGGTTGCATTATCCTGCTGAAAAAGACCACTGCAATCAGAGAACATCATTGTCATGAAGAGGTGTACATTGTCTGAAACAATCTCTAGGAAGGTGGTACATGTCAAAGTAACATTCACATGAATGCCAAGACCTAAGGTTTCCCAGCAGAACATTGCCCAGTGCATAACACAGCCTGCCTTTTCCCATAGTTCATCCTGCTGCCATCCTGCAGCCATCCGGGAACTTTCTTTGATTGCTCCATGGTTCACTGCCGATGCTCATGTTCCCATTGAAAGCACTTTTGATGGTGGACAGGGGTCATCATGGCCACTCTGATTGGTCTATAGCTTTGCAGCTCCATACACAGTAAACTGTAATGCACTGTGTGTTGTGACACCTTCCTATTAAGGCCATCATTATGTTTTTCAGCAATTTGAGCTATAGTGTCACATATTCATCCGCTTATAGAAATGTGGTTAATGGCATTTACTGTCCACACAGGAAAAGTTGTGCCGAGCAGCAACCTAATCCACAGAAGGGTTAATGCTGAGCAGTAATTGTGCAAATGAAACCTGGTGTCATGTATTCATCCGCTTAGAGAAAAGTGATTAATGACATTTACTGTCCACACAGGAAAAGTTGTGCCGAGCAGCAACCTAATCCACAGAAGGGTTAATGCTGAGCAGCAATTATGCAAATGAAACCTGGTAACTGACTTTGGGGTCAAAGGCCGGTTACAGCCTATCAGAACTAAAGGAGGGGTATTTAGGCCCAGTTCTCAGCCTGCTCAGTGCCCTGTCGTGGTTTCCCTTGTGGTTGTCCGAGAGCGCGTTCCTGTTTATAGTTTTCTACCTGGTTTTTGACTTTGGCTTTGTTTATTGACTTCTCTATATTCTGGTATCCTGACTCCTGGCTTTCCTCATCGCTGTGTCCCTTTCTGTGTTCCCTGACCTCGGCTAGTATTTTTGACTATTCTTTGTAAGTTAAATCCGGCCATTCTAAGGACCGGTAATACGTTACTTATTTGTCATCCGTGCTGTACAGTTCTACGTGCTGGATCAAACAGTAATCCTGACATTACGACATGGCCATAGATCCTGTAGAACTGTGTCACATAGCTGCTTGCGAGAGGAAATTAGAGGAGAATGATCACCGCATGGATCAATTCACTCAGGCTTTAAGTACGTGTAGCGGATAGCCCCAGGCGACCCTACAAATATACTGTTTTACCTGCATTCGTGTATCTGCTGTGTTTTCTATGTATTAAAGTGACTTGTATTCCTCTGATTGTTCGGTAGTTTCATTCCCTTAGTTTATTCGAATGAAACTACCGAACAACCAGACCTCCCCTGTGTGAAGTGTGTCCTCAATTACCTGTTGCAACATTGTTGCGAACGGGTAATTGAACAGTAAGTAGCCGTCCTTTGCTCTCGGGGGTGGCCGCCATTCGACAAACGAACACGTGGCGGCGGCCATTTTAAAACTCCCGAACAGCTGTGTTTTGCCGTCGAGTGTCTGGAACTAAAATCGGACACTCGAGCAGGCGAACACCGCTGAGACTTCCACAGCCCTGGTCCGTTCGGTTCCAAACTACCGAACGGCCCCTCGTTCGGTAGATAGAAAATACCGAACGAGGGGATTCAGGCGAACCCTCCCTAGCCTCTATAGTTAGAGGTTTTCGTGTATTTTATTCCCTTATGCCAGGACCGACCGCAGGGCCCATTCACATGGAACCGGATTCGGCTATCTCAGTTAGTGCGGTCGGTCATTTTATTCCCTCCATACATTTCCCGAACCCCTGGTCTGATCTGGGTGATTTTTGGATATGATGTTCACCCAGATCAGGGGTATCCGGGGATGTAGGATTTAAAGGGGTACCCCTACGTTTAGGAGTACATCCAGAAACGGGGGGAATTGGTGTGCTGGATAAGGGGATTATGATGCTGGCTGAGGGGAGGAGATGTGTGGGAGGTTACCAGGACAGGATTGGCTACTGTAATAATTACTGTAAATCCCTCCCTTGCATGGGAGCATGCTTTATAAGGAGACTGTGATTAAAGGCTAGTCAGTTATGCTCCTGAAACTGTGTGTCGTCCAGTTATTGGGATTGCTGTTGGGATATTGCTGTATTTTACCTGCTGGAAGCCTTGCCTGTGGATTTACTATTTACTTGTTCCTGAGTCCCACTTGGATTATAAGCGGAGATACCCTGGGTAATATTGCATCTCCGCTACAGTACGCTTCTCGCTAGAACGGAGCATCTGCAGCCTGCAGCGTCTCCTCCTATAGCACCTCTACGCTGTGTACCTCCACCCACTGTTAATAGGACTCCTTGCATCTCCTTATCACCATCCCTACAGTTTGATGGCAATATCCAGGAATGCGGGGGTTTTCTTAATCAGGTGGAGTACTGTAACGGATCGCCTGGCACCCCGACTGGGTACCTCCGTTAAAGGATGCTCCTAGCGCTTCCTGAGGACTCCAAGCACTGCAGCAGACACCACAACCACCGTACCGGAGAAGCATATGAATCCTCTCAAGCATATGAATGCTGTAGACAGTTGAATAGGAACCATACGAATAGGTTTACTCTCCTAGCAGTCAAACTGGAACAGCATACAATAAATCCTTCCCCCAATAATGAGACGACACTTCACTTTGAGGGTTAAAACAGGAACTCCTGTACTGTCACATACAGTCTCTTTTATTCCCAATCCACAAACATAGTACAGCCCACAGGGCGTTACAAAACAACCAATCACATCACAGTTACATCCCACATATTCCCTCCCCTTATCCTGAGAGGAAACTCAATTATACATACAGTTAAAACATACTTTCTACCCAACTTTCATAACTCCAAAACCATACATCACATTCACATAAAATTACATATTCACAATCAATCCATTCAGGGGAACAACATATTCAAAAATGGCACAAATCAGACAAGGGGTTCAAAAGTTAGTAAAAAGTCCTTTGTGACTAAATGAAGCATGGCTTTCTGGCCCAAACCAGTTTCAGAGTCTTCTATCCTGGAGATAAGTAATTCAATTATCTCCCAGGACAGACACAAGACTCCATTAAGCACATGGTTGCAAAAAGACACAAAACACTTTAAAATACATAAAGTCACATTTACACATAACACACAGACATTTCACATATCCCCAGATAGCTGGGATCTGAGTGCACATTATTAGATGAATGGCACTCAGATCACACAAATAAGCCTTTCTGCAGGGGAAATAAACAGTTTAACCTGCAGGGCCATAGTCCAAAGGGAGCAGGCGAGCAACCAGGCTTCTCCAGTTCACAGTGGCGAGGTTGGTTTCGCCACAAGTACCATTTTGAGGCCTCACCAGGGTCATTCCCCACGGACAGAGCAAGAATTGGTTATCTAATGAATCAATTAAAGGGCAAGGCCCTTGCCTGGGCTAATCCGTTGTGGGAGAGTAATCGGAGCATAGCTCATAATTACCAGGAATTCCTTGCCGAATTCAAGCTCACGTTTGAGCCATTGGGTAGAGAGGATGACGCCTCCACTGCCCTAATGCACATCAGACAAGGTAACCGGTCTATCTCGGATTATGCTATTGAATTCCTAGATGAATATATGAATATACTAGATGAGATAGCCACTAAAGAATTACCTAAGAGTCTTAACGAATTTATTACGTTTGTCATGCATATTGATAATAGGTTAAGTCTCAGAGAAGTCACCAGAAGCAAGACCAGATGTACGGCTATGTCCCTAGCACCTCAATTCTCTAAACCTGTTTTGTCTAACCTCCCTGTACAGTCCGAACCCGAACCTATGCAGTTGGGGGTCACTAGACTGTCAGAGGCCGAAAAACAGTATAGGAGAAGGGAGGGGTTATGCCTATATTGCGGTAGAAAGGGACATATGATAACTAATTGTCCAGTGCGTCCGGAAAACTTCCGCACCTAAGAACCTTAAGGGGACAGATCTTAGGTGTGATGGAGTTGTCCTCTAACAAAAACAAAAGTAGATTCCTCCTTGAGGTATCTATTTCCCTTGATAACAAGAAGTTTTCTTGCAGTGCCCTAATGGACTCAGGTGCTGCTGGAAATTTTATTGATGTCCAGTTTATTAGGGGTAATGAGATACCGGTCAGGGAGAGACCTACACCGCTAGCTGTAGAGGCTATTGATGGTAGACCACTCACACAACCGCTTATAACCCACGAAACTGTCCCTATTACGATCTCCATTGGGGCCTCCCATAGGGAGGAGATGACGTTTCAGGTTATTACTTCTCCATCATGTCCTATCATATTAGGGTTTCCGTGGCTGAGTAAGCACAATCCCAATATTGACTGGGCTAATGGGGAGATATTAGAATGGGGTAAAGAGTGTATGGGGAGATGTATAAAACCAGTACTAAAGAGATTGGATACTATTGACCTTCCCACTACCACTCCCCAAACTCCTGGAGTTCCCATACAATACCGAGAACTTCAGGAGGTGTTTAACAAGGCTCAATCCGATGTATTGCCTCCCCACAGAGCATATGACTGTGCCATTAACCTGTTTCCAGGCGCTATGCCACCTAAGGGGGCAGTTTATGCCTTATCTCCCCAGGAGAGTAAAATAATGGAGGAATACATCAAAGAATCCTTGAGCAAAGGGCACATAAGAAAGTCATCCTCACCAGCTGGTGCAGGATTCTTTTTTGTTGAGAAAAAGGTGGTGAGTTACGCCCTTGCATAGACTACAGGGCACTTAATAAAATCACTGTAAAAAATGCATACCCTATTCCACTCATTTCCGAATTGTTCGATAGACTTCAGGGAGCTAAAGTATTTACTAAGCTTGACCTTAGGAGCGCTTACAATTTGGTTAGAATTAAAGAGAATCATGAGTGGAAGACGGCATTTAATACCCGTAGTGGACACTATGAATATCTGGTAATGCCATTTGGGTTATGCAACGCCCCGGCCGTATTCCAAGACTTTATAAATGATGTACTCAGGGAATTCATTTACTCATTTGTCTTGGTTTATTTGGACGATATTTTGGTGTATTCCCCTGATCTTCAAACTCACCACTCCCATGTGAAACAGGTTCTGCAGACGTTGTTGAAAAATAAACTTTATTGTAAATTAGAAAAGTGCATATTTGACCAGCCTGAAGTCCACTTTTTGGGTTACAACATCTCTGCATCGGGATTTCAAATGGATCCTAAAAAAAACTAGAGGCTGTACTACACTGGCCATTACCCTCTGGTTTAAAAGCCATTCAAAGGTTTATTGGTTTTGCCAACTATTACAGAAGATTCATCAAGGGATTTTCTTCTGTAATAGCCCCAATCACAAATATGACTCGCAAAGGGGTTAGTAGCACGGTATGGTCCAAAGAGGCTGTGAATGCTTTTGAGACTCTTAAACAAAGATTTGCCTCTGCGGACATACTAAAACATCCTGACACCAGTAAACCTTTTATATTGGAGGTTGATGCATCCGAGACAGGGGTAGGGGCTGTTCTCTCTCAGAGAGAAAGCCAGGGAACACATTGCATCCTTGTGGCTACTTCTCCAGAAAGATGTCTCCTGCTGAGCGCAACTATGATATTGGCAATAGAGAACTGTTGGCCATTATTCTTGCCCTCAAGGAGTGGCGACATCTTTTGGAGGGTTCCAAGGACCCCCTGTTGATCATAACCGACCACAAAAATCTGGCATATATAGGGGATGCCAAACGTTTGTCTTCCAGACAGGCTAGATGGTCACTGTTCCTTTCACGTTTTAACTTTCTCATTACTTATAGACCTGGTTCTAAAAATACCAAGGCTGATGCCTTGTCCAGGCAATCTGATAATGAGTCAGCTCCGGAACAGATGACATCTCCCATTATTCCACCAGAGTGTATTATTGCTACAACTGTCCTCTCACTGTCTTCTCCACTGCTTGGCACCATACTGGAGGCCCAGCCTCAGGCGCCCAGTGGTAAACCGTGTGATAAACTGTTCGTTCCCCTATGTGAAAGGGTTAATATCATGAAAGTGTTCCATGACAATATAACTGCTGGACACCCGGGCATCAATAAGTCCACTGCCGCGATCACTAGATCATTTTGGTGGGATTCACTCAGGAAAGATGTAAAGGAGTATGTGCAGGCATGTTCTGTGTGTGCAGTTTCTAAGGTGACTCATGCACTTCCTTGTGGCCTGTTGCAGCCTCTTCCTGTTCCTGAGATTCCATGGTCCCACCTATCCATGGACTTTATTGTTGAGCTTCCTAGCTCTGCTGGGTTCACTACTATTCTCATGGTTGTAGACCGATTTTCTAAGATGGCTCACTTCATTCCTCTCAAGAAGTTGCCATCTTCGCAAGATTTGGTCCTAATTTTCATACGTGAAATTGTCCGTTTGCATGGCATCCCCCACAATATTGTGTCTGATAGGTGCTCTCAGTTTGTGTCCAGGTTCTGGAGGACGTTCAGTAAACAATTGGGGATTGATCTCTCCTTCTCCTCCCCCTACCATCCACAGACCAATGGTACAGCTGAGAGGGCTAACCAGTCATTAGAAGTTTATTTGCGTTGTTTTATTAATAGCACACAAGACAATTGGTCCGAACTACTCCCGTGGGCCGAGTTTGCTAGAAACAATGCTGTTCATGACTCCTCTGGGCACAGTCCATTTTTTGTCAATAATGGTAGGCATCCTACGGTTCTCCCTGCGGTATTTTCTGATACTGCCATTCCTGCTCTGGATGAGCGTCTGGCCTCCATTCGGGATACCTGGGTTAAGGTTCAAACTGCTCTAGGGGCTGCTGCTGAACGCTTCAAACATTTTGCTGATAAGCGTAGGAGTGCCAACCCGGTGTACCAAGTGGGGGACCGGGTTTGGTTGTCATCTCGCAACATCAAGCTTAAGGTCCCTAGCATGAAGTTTGCCCCCAGATTCCTTGGTCCCTATAGAGTGCTTCGTAGGATCAATCCAGTGTCTTACTCTCTGGCTCTTCCTGCATCTTTAGGGATTCCCAACACTTTTCATGTGTCCTTACTCAAACCTCTTGTCTGCAATAGATATACTGTTCTTTGTGTTCCTCCCCCTCCGGTGGTGGTGGGTGGTCAGGAAGAGTATGAGGTATCTTCTATCGTGGATTCTAGGTTTTCTCGGGGCACTTTACAGTACTTGGTTGTTTGGAAAGGTTACGGTCCTGCTGATCGTTCTTGGGTTTCGGCTCCTGACCTGCATGCGGGCCGTAAGATCCGCGCTTTTCACACTAAATTTCCTCTCAAGCCTGGTCCTGTCCGCCCGGTGGGCATTCTTCAGGTGGGGGGTAATGTCACATATTCATCCGCTTATAGAAATGTGGTTAATGACATTTACTGTCCACACAGGAAAAGTTGTGCCGAGCAGCAACCTAATCCACAGAAGGGTTAATGCTGAGCAGTAATTGTGCAAATGAAACCTGGTGTCATGTATTCATCCGCTTAGAGAAAAGTGATTAATGACATTTACTGTCCACACAGGAAAAGTTGTGCCGAGCAGCAACCTAATCCACAGAAGGGTTAATGCTGAGCAGCAATTATGCAAATGAAACCTGGTAACTGACTTTGGGGTCAAAGGCCGATTACAGCCTATCAGAACTAAAGGAGGGGTATTTAGGCCCAGTTCTCAGCCTGCTCAGTGC